CCATCGAACGAAGTTCGGAGGGATATAGGGAACGCCTCCGTCCGTCCGTCCGTACGTACGCCCGTCCGTCCGTCCGGGCAATAACTCAAATACCACTGGCCCGATTTTGTTCATATTTTGTACACATATACCCTATGGGGGTAGAAGTTCTGCTCGAAAGCCGATTTTCAAAATGGCAGCTCATTTCAAAATGGCGGCCATTTTAGTGCCTAATTTACAGTAATTTAGGTGCAATATGTCACTGCCCCCAGGATTCCGTGTTTGCAGAGCGCGGACGGAATTTGCCTCTGCCCGCGGAATTGCAGAATCAACTATTTTTGTCAATTTCCGCGGAATTTTCCGCAGAATCCATATATTTTCCAAAAGTTTAAAAAGTCAGTCTTACCTGTAACAATCTGACACGTTTTCAGTCAAATCCCTTGCAGAAATAACCCAAATTATGCGAAGTGAAAATTCTAAACGCCATCGTTTGATTTCTGCCGTTAGATGGCAGCATGTATGTAGTGACTGACTACCTGACTATCACGATATTTTCCCGTTTACTGGTTCGAAAACCATTAGTTTTTCTTTCGGTTCTCGTCAGAATATCCGCGGAATTTCTGCAGAATTAGCCCTTTCTTCTTGCAGAATTCACTAATTTCACTTGCAGAATTGAGCATTTTAACTTGCAGAAAACTGGGGGGAGTGATATGTAAAACTGTAATAGCAATATGTTTTAGATGTAAAAAAAATATATGGGACATTAATAAAGCTAGAAATGTAGATATTAAAGAAGCACATGGCAGCCATTTTGAAAAATGGCGGCCTTTACTCGTTATTTTACGATTTTTGCTGTAACTCGAAAAGTAGTGGAGCGATTTTGTTCATATTTTGTATGTGAATACTATAAACATTGCACACTGTCTAAAGACACTTTTGGTAGAAAGTTTTGAAAAATGGCCGCCATTTTAACCTATTTTACTATAACTCGAAAAGTAGTGAAGCGATTTTGTTCATATTTGGTATGTGAATACTATAAGGATGGCACACTGTCTAATGACACTTTTGGTAGAAGGCGGCCATTTTGAAAAATGGCCGCCATTTTAACGTATTTTACTATAACTCGAAAAGTAGTGGAGCGATTTTGTTCATATTTGGTATGTGAATACTATAAGTATGGCAAATGGTCTAATGACACTATTGGTAGAAGGCGGCCATTTTGAAAAATGCCTGCCATTTTTGCTATATACTTTGTTTGTAAAAATGCCATCCATGGCTGTTCGATGGGATTCGCTACGCTTTGGCGTTGCCGTTGTTCTGGTTTTTATCCACGAATGGATATGATATCTGCACGAGCGAGCGTAGCGAGAGAGTGCAGATATCAATAACCATGAGTGGATTAAAATCATATCACGAGTAAATCATAGGATGTTCTTTTTATTCCATAGTTAAAGTCATCATCAGAATCGTCGGAAATTAAGTCATTTAATTCGAATTTTCCAAACGATCCGGCGATGTTGACACTTAGCCTCGTTTTGAGTCTGAAGTAGCAAAAATCCATAAACCATCGCATACGACGTCGTATGTCATGGCTAAAAAACCGTATGCTATGGTTAAGTGAATATTTGTCAAAAATATCATATTTTACCACTGATTCCAAAAATACCGTTTTTATTTTCACATGTTATCCTATGAATATCATGCTAACTATGGAATAACATGTGATATAAAACAATATATTTACATAATACTGCTAGGCTATGAATACTACAATCTTTACAAATTAAACAATATATATTACAATACAATACAATATATTTCAATATAATATATTTCAATACATAGTGTGGTCATGACATTTTTTATGATATGAGGTAGACATAAACTGGAAGGTTATCTTAGGTTAAATAGAAGCTTTATCAATTATGTTAGCTGTCAATGAATTTCAATTTTAATATTTGATTTGTAACACTAAACATTGGCCATTAGCCATAGAATGTTATAATGATGATGATAGTTTGGATTTGCGGTTTAAAAGGGTTCAATGATGTTGTCAGTAATTGTTGAAACTGAACCATTATAAGTAAATCCCTTATTTACTATAAACATGATAACTAAAACTAAATGATTAATCACAAAAATATGTCAGATTAACAAAATAATCTAGTATTATCTTTGCTGTAATCAGGCTCAAGTCCTGGGGGTCGACTTGACTCATTAACCCCTAAGTAAGTACATATCCTAGATTCCAGATCCCTTGTTTTGACTTTTTTCACCAACCCCTCCTTACATATTACCAACAAGGTCTCCTTATATCTTAAATTCTTACATAATTTTTTGCAATATTTTTAAACAATGTCCAAAGGTGGATGACATCTCTACAGAATATTATACTCATTAAAAGGAGTCTAAATCATGTGTACTCACATAAATCATCTGTACTCATGTAAATCATCTGTACTCACATAAATCATCTGTACTCAATAAATCATCTGTACTCACATGCATCATGTTAGACCAAAACTCACATAGAAATATTAAAGTCAATAAAAGATGGCTGTTAAATTTTTGAATTTTGACAAATTTTTATATTTGGATTGAAACATGCTGGTTGACCCATATGTTGCTTTGTATATATCAGACTCAAAGTGTATAATGGAAACGATCCATATGATTTGACAATGCAAATTGTATTTCTTTTTTTCTTTTTGCTTTTGAATTAGGTACTATATAATATTTTATTTTTGTTTATGGTATTTCACTTTCAAGTATACATATTTTCATGTTTCCACATAACTTGCAAATACATGTATATTCCAATGACCGTGATCATGTTACGTATTATTTATTATTAAATACCTATAAACATCTTGCTGTTTTGAAAATGGATAAATTATATACATGAAGTAACAATTATCTCTCAAGCAGCTCCAGTAATTCATAACTTTCACATATTTTTATGATCATTTCCAACTTTATTTTTGCTTGCATTCTCATGATATATCAGCCTAATTGAACTAAAGTTTCTGACTTTTGGCAATATTTGTTTAACTCAAAAGTACAAAAAAATTCAATTTATACAGTGACTTACTGTAGATATAGTTAAGCAGTAGATCATTCTAAACAAAGATGCTTAAAGCTAATTGCCCTTGCAGAAAAGTAAAAATGCACTCCCTTGCAAAATATGAATTTCATAATATACCCCCTCAAAAAACCATGCCTCATTAGTAAAAGAAAATACTTCAATTGTTTTTACGATTATTTGTCACCAACTGTTATTTTTTTTTAATTTTCTGTTGCTCTTTAAAAATATTTTGAAGGGTGATTTTTTACTACTACTTAAACTCAACTCATCAAGTATGTTAAAAACAGATAAGAAAAATACAACTTGTTAAGTAGATGAGACAATCTAAATCAGACAATTTTAACAGATATTTATCAGTTTACTATTAGAAACAAAACAAATTGTCATAAGGAGAACAATATGAACTTGAAAACAATAGAATGTTACAGCTAACTTTTATATTAAGTTGATAAGTTTTGAACTTTATTTAAAGTTAAATTGGATGTACTTATACAAAGTTGTTAAAACGAGAGGAAGTAATAAAGTAATATGACGGTGCTTTTAAGAGTGAAACAAAAGTTCAGGACCAGGTTTTTGTCAAACCCAGAGGTTGGTATCATTTATTTTTTATTATGTCATAATCAGTGGTGACACATTGTTGTAGACAATGTTTTTGTGACTGACATTCAGTGTTGGTATTTGGCATATAACAATTGTTTCATTTTTGAAATTGCAGCCAGTTTGTTATATTTTTGTCATGTTATAATGCTTTGTTTTAGGGCCTGTAATAAATAACTGAGTCAGCAAAAGATCATTTAGTGTTTGCAGCAAAAGATTGAAAATTTGCAAAAAATATTTTTATAGCCTTGAAGAGGGAATGTACTAGGATAGATATTCTCAGTACTCACATCTAAAATAAAGCAGAATAAGACACATAATGATATGATAGAAATCAATATTCTTAGATATATCCATCATTAGAAACATTAAAACATTACATCCCCCCTCCCTCTCTATACTACAGCATTGACTGTCTTATGGGAATTTGAAATATTATTATACAAAGCTAATATAGCATAAGGGTTATGTACTGGGAGGTTTTAGATATGGGGTTTATCCAGAGGGATATATGAATATCTACCTGAAGTATAGTAGGGACCGATGGTAGATGTGCATATCTCACAAGGGATAAACCCCATATCCAAATCGACTGTAAATAGTTTCCCAATTTTTTTTTCTAATTTTTTTTCAAAGCAGAAAGATATGCCCTGGAGCGGGAGATATGGAGGTTCTGGATATGGAAACCTCAAAATCAGGATATATCTTAACAACTTATCTCCCTAAAACCCTACTTGGCATAGGATAATAGACTGTATTACTATGTGTATCTGGAAGTACATGTATGTGTATTGATTAATAGAAAATTTCAATGTAAGAAAGGGGGAAATATGCTTTTCCCAACTGACCGGTGATTAACAAATTTATTCCATGGTTACTTCATGTGCTTTCCTTCACTCACTATTGAATCTGAAAGATACTGGGATAATAACCAATATCATCTTTGATCCCAATATCTATCCTGTTTTTAAAAGATTCAAATGGCATCCTTGATAGATTAAGTTATATTTTCTGCCACTTAGAATACATGTTATTCCGGAAACAAACTCTTATTTTACTATAAAGAATTATTGAATGAATAAACAAGTTATAAGAGGGATTGTATATTATTGATGTACAGCACTGATTTGTTTTATTTAATTGAAACAAATACAAAATCTGTCATTTGTATTCTGCTTACAAAGGAATCAATTTAAAGTTTCAAAAATACAAATTAAATCTTTCATTTGTTTATAAAGGAATCAAGGTATTATTTTCAAATATTGAAGGCAATACTATATGCACTTCCCAAATATTATCAATTTATTCCTGATATAAACAAATATTTGTTGATTTACAGCTTGAGGGAGAAAATGGGATGACAGTTCGAGATCTTGTATCGAATAGCTTCTCAGAATACCAAATAGAGGGGGACACGCGTATCAAAATGGCCGACAACAATGCCGAAGTTGACCCTGATGCTGATGCGGAAGATTTAGCAGATGGAGTTATCATGATTGAAGCACCATATTGTGATAATGACGTGTTTGATGATGCAGGTAAGTCCTTATGTGTTTATTAGTCTTTGCAAGATTGATCAACTTTCCGTTTCACTATTTAACTCACTTTTAAACCTCAGAAATCGTATGAACCAATTATCTCCATTTCAAGGGTCTGAATTGAAATAATTAATTTTTATCAACATTACCTTAATCAAGAACTCTCTAGCTTGAGGAAAAATCCTAGGGAGAATACTAGATTATCAATTTATATGTCACCACCTAAAGCAGTGACTTTAGATTTGAGATTTCACCTTCAATGACCTTTTAAAGGTCAAAAAGGTCTTTTACAACTAGTTTAACCATTAACTTAGATGACATTTTGCCATGTTAATGTCTTGTTATATTCTTGATTTTGTTTCAGATGGGCGTCTGAGGATTGCTAAAAGATTCCTAGCGGCTGAGAAAAGATATCTTGAGACTATTCGTACAATCAGTGAGATATACGCTGAACCTTTAAGGTAAAACATCTCTAACTTTATGTATTTTGTTTGATAGGGGGAGATTTATTGAGATACCAACATTTCTTGCTTGTGGCTTATTTCAGTAGACCTTGTTTTCAGTTCATTAAAGATAAACTTAAATTTCTTTAAAAATATGAGGTGTCATAAATCAAATAGAAAGTACAAACTTTTATGCCACTATATCTCTTTCAAAAGTATCCTATATACTCCTATATTACGTGTATGGATAATTGTTTTGAAAACGCATCCACACACATTAGTCATTTTAAACTGTATTAAGATATTTAGATGGCATCGCAAGCTATGGTTATTGGAAAGCAGTACCCTACCCCATTGTGATACTCAGACCAACCAATAAGGATAAAACCATGTGAAAGATGAAGAAAAGAGCTTTAAAATGCTTTTTTTATTTGAAGCTTCTAGCTCAATTTTGAAGGATGTTGCATCAATTTTTGTAAAATTCAAAATAAATCTTATTTTTTTGGCTTGTTTATGCCACAATTGCACCCCCCCCCCCCACCCAACTGAAAACCAAAAATAAAATTCGCGATCGCACCACCCTGACTCAGAGCTGGCTACGCCCCTGCTTTGCCTTGCTAAGAATGTAGAAAGGTACAAATAGAAGGCTGTGATCTCTAACGGTGACCCTATCCATTTTCGTTTTAATTTTGCTTCATCGAAAGAAAGCTTCATTTATACTCATTGAGTGAAGTTTTAATGGATGTAAATGGATGTGTGTGCCCCGTGTTGGGCTTTTAAAAACCCATGGCTATAAGAAATTTTTCAGTCTGGGTATGCAATGAAAACATTGCCATCAATTTCCATGGTAATGGCAATGTAGAAACATAACATTGGAACAGCTATAAAATAATTGAAAGCCAGCATGTGACATAACATGCATTATAACAGAAACTTGATCTGAAATGTTGGCATTGCATTTGAGCTATATATAGCACATAACCTATCAGTCTCTTTGGCAAAATGTCAGTTTTGAGAATCACTTATCATACTGACATTAGAATTCATCATGTTTGTGATCTATTTGATCATGGACTTGTATATTATATCCAACTTGCCCAGGGGCGTTGCTAGCTTTCAGTCAGGAGGGGTGTGATCGCCAATAAAATTTTGATTTTCAGTCAAGGGGTGCGATTGTGGCATAAAGCCAAAAAGTAAGATTTTTCTTGAATTTTACAAAAATTTATGCAGCTTCCTTCAAAATTGAGCTAAAAGCTTCAAATAAAAAGCATTTTAAAGCTCTTTTCTTTCTTCTGTCTCTTCTATATTTATTGGTTATTGGGGGGGGGGGGGGGGTGCCTATGTTGCCTAATAATAGATGTTATATTTGAAAGTGTAAACACATTTTTTTGGCCAAAACCCTGACTTTCTGAGCCCGTTCATTTTGGAATTTGACTTTGAGCCAATCAATTGTGAAGGGAACAGTATAATCCCCTGGCATCATATCACACATTTACATACACGTTTTCTTAATAACATGTGACTTGTCCTCCCTAGCTATGATATAAAGAGACAAAAGTCAATCACCCTAGAAAAGGTATTTGGTCAGTGTCCAAACAGGCAATAAATGATTAAGAAGGACATCAGGTGTTTTGATTGTTTTATGGCATGTATAATCTTCAGAGCAGACCTATCATTAACTTACAAGTACCTATAAATTACTGCATGCATATGTATGATTTACATGTCACACCTTTGTTTTGGGATTTTTTCAGTCATATTTAGCTCCTGGAGGTTAAGGTTATTTCTGTTGTGAAATTATATTAAGATACCTTTGAACAAGATGTCCTGCTTCACATGTCATTTCTCATAAAGTACCTTTTGAATCCACTTCTTACAAGAGAGCTTCATTAGTTAAAACTAGACTCTGCTCTAAGGGAAGTGGGAAGGAATAGCCTTCCATAGGCTAGTGACTATTTCAACATAAATGTCACTCTTGTTGAAATGATACCCTTTTGTTGTCACCCCCAGAAGTGGTGACATATTGTTATTGTCTCCAACTATCTTATGAATGGTGTTCAGCGGTCAGCATTTAGAATTGGGCGTCTGGAACAATTTGCTGTAACTTACAAGGTGGTGACATTTTTTCATACAATGCCAAAAGGCGAATTTGCAGCATGATTGTGTATTATGCCATGAAAAATATATCAATGAAATAAACCTATTGTTTAAAAAAAATGTTTGTCAATTTTGTCATGTCAATGCCTTCTTAATAGTTTGAATTCACAATCATTTATTATCTTAGTCAAATTAGATCACCCCAATTCATCTACCCAAAAATTGCAGCTCCATAATTTTATGTCAGCTTCTAACCTAAGGGTACAATAGTAACAACTAGGCTATGTACTTCAGGGTATGTTGACTTAAAGAATATTAAAATAGTACTTAACTTTAAGAAACAATGATAATGTTTTATAACTCTTTTCAGGAAGTTTTCATCGCTAGGAAAGGAAGACCACAAGATATTATTTGGTAGCATGGAACCTGTTTTGTCAGTCTCGTCTACACTATGCTCAAAGGTATGTTCATAACTATGTTTAGAGTTAGTGGGGCAGTCTTATTCTTCATTCACAGCTTCATACTTTTATGTCCAAATTCATAACAGTTGAAAAAGGGACGACCCCATTTTAAAAACTATTGCCAGATCTGTTTCATCTAGGATAACCAAGGTATGATGTTGTCATGATTGAAAATAAAAATGGTAAGCGAGTATGGAACTGTTGGACATTTAAGAAAATAGGCATGACATGGAATGGTGAGAGCAAGGGTCCTCAATAATCCCCACAATCTAAGGATCCCAATATAGTTTTATCTCTCAGTGGGCCGACACAATCAAAACCCACTATATGTAAAATGCAAAATATGCTGCATATCAAAACATCCAAAATATTAGAATGATGAACTTTTTCGCTTAACATGAAATGCCCTGGCAGCAATTGGCTAGCTTTTGTGTGTAATTTTTTATTGCTAATTGAAAAATAGATATTAGGTATTAAAAATTCAAAAAAGTGCAAAATACTTTGTAATTTTGAGACAATATTTTGTTACTCAATCTCACTTTTCCTCTTTCCCTTCTAATTAATGCTATCATATCAAATGATTAAATTGGTGCTGAGGACCACATATGAATTAAAGAAACAAGCTAGAATTAAATTAAGAGAAAACGGAACATAATTCCAACATGATCCCCATTCAATTAATGTAAACAAACATTTTTCTTAATATTTTAACTTTTTCACTACCTATTTGACATTAACAACCAATTTTGCCCATTTTTATTACACCCTTCAGCAAGAATAAATAAACAACAAAGAGATGTGCATTCTTATAAGGTTGAACTAGATATGTAAATGTCAATTGTGATAATTAATGGTCGAACAATTCAAATTCAAAGCATTTTACATAGATTTTCTTCAATTTTGTTAAAAGTTTGAATTAACTATTACTGTCTTCTGCATTTTTGTACAAATTAAGATGTCACCTTTGAAATTGTAGACATCATTTTTTCCTCATTGTATATTAAGCCGAATAGGATTGTTTTCTTTTGAATATTGATTAATGATGTTGCCTGCATCTGTTAGGGTATGGACTTGTTCAAGGTAAAGTGGCTTGTTGCATACACTCTATTGGGAAATAAGCTATTAATAGATGGCATTCTAGTTCCGGCATAAACACATGCTCAATAACTCATTTTTGGAGTTTTTTGGATCATTTGAAAAAAATGTCATTCAATAGTCTACAGTGTGTAATTTCTCTGCAAATAGAGGTCTTATTTTCATGAAATTATTTGTTTGTACTTTTTAATGTTACCATCACTACATTTTGATTGTGATTAGAATTTGGAGCTCAGCAATCAATGTCAACAGTAGGCAATCAGTATTCCATTTCTGTAACAAATTCTTACTCTTTTAACCCTTTGCAATAAGTGACCATCTAGGTGGTTACATTTTCAGGTTATGATGCCTTATTTGTTGAGAAACAAGATGGATTGAATTTGTATTTTTGAAGAAGAGCATTGACTGGTTCCTCTTGTATTATGTTAAATCAGACTCCCGAAGTTTGGACCATCTAATTGATTTTTATACTTAATGTCCATGGCTCATGCTAATGAACAATGGTACCATGAATGTAACTACAGATACAAAAATGTACCAATAAAAAATCAATTCACCTCCCCCTTCTGCTTTAGAGGACACTTGTTCAGAGAGATGCTTAGAGGTGTTAAGCAATAAAAGGATTGTGTACCTAGAGGCATCAGAATGGAGAGATAGTGTTTGTTGAAAACTTGCTTTCAAAAATTATGCCAATGTTTCCCTGACAAGCCTGTCTAATTTGAAAAACCTGAAAAAGGATTGATATGTCTTAAAAATATTGAATTTATTGAGGATTTCAAATAAAGATCAATTAAAAATCAAAAGGTTAAATAGATAAGGTCACAACTGTTGGCATTTTTAGAAAACAAGCATGGCATAGAATGATTATGGAGACATTTTTTAAAAATTTACACAACTCCCTATCCTGACTACCTCATTCAATAAGACACTGATACAAGGACTTTCATTTTGGATAATTTTTTTTTCAAAACATGTACTATACATTAAATTATTTTAGCTTTTTAGTTAGTCAGTAGTCTCTAGAATGTCCATGTTACATAGTACTTCATGTATACATAATAGTATTTCTGTTATTTAGTTTAGATTATTACTTTTGAAGTAGTATCAGAAATTTCATGGTTTTTTGATATGTAATGCAGTTAACAGGGCCCAGTGCTTTTATTTTTGGGATTCTTTATACATCTTGAAACCCATAGCAAACTGTTCCATGGGATCTTTAAACACAGTATCATAAACAGGGCTCAGTTTATCCTTGACACGTTGAATATATGCTGCCATCTTAGGCCTCCTTTCCTTGCCCATATCTATATCAGTAGGCTCCACATTGACCAGTTCTGATATACATTGCAGATCAGCAATTGAGATCTCGTCACCAGCCAAATATTCAGAATCTTTCAGCCAATAGTTTTCCAGCTGGTCCAGCATTTTCTCAAAACCTTCCTTGATTTTTTGGAGTTTCTCTTCAGGGCAGGTTTTCTTCATAAAGAATGGTTCCATGAACTGGAAAACACCAAAATTGATGTTACCATATTAAAAAACACTAAAAAACACCAAAATTGATGTCACCATATTAAATAACACCAAAATTGATGTCACCATTTTAAAAAACACCAAAATTGATTTCACCATATTAAAAATATATTGCAAATAGTTAAAAATAACATTAATTTAAATCATAATTAAAAGATCTCAAATGACTGTATTTCTTATTTTTTCATCTGGTTTGACAAAAAAAAACTGGAATGAATGCAGTTATAATTTACTAATGTACTACTTGAGACTGTTTGTATACAGAAAAGTTTCAAACTATGGAAGAGAATTTTGATTATTCAAACCAAACACTTACATAAGCCTCTAGATATCCAGATGCATTTTTCCTCATATCAGGACCATGCCAGCTGATATATTGGTTTACTTGCATTCTCCCTTTAGCACTTTTTGGGTACCAATGCTCAGGTACGCCATCTAACTCTGCCAGGTACTGCAGGGCTGCGGAGCTGGAAATAAATATGTAATGATCTGTAATATGTATATAAAGCATCAATATTTATGAAAGCCTGTACATATTGTCTGTTTCTAACTCCTGAGGTACTAGCGCGTGTACACGTTAATGAGTCAATTATGCTGTACAAGGTAGGGTAACCTGACAACTCATCCCCTGGACAACTCATCCCCTGGACAATTCATCCACTGGATAACTCATCCCCTGGACAACTCACCCCTGGGCAACTCATCCCTGAACAACTCATCTCTGGACAACTCATCCCTGGATAACTCATCCTTTGACAACTCATCCCTGGACAGCTCATCCCCTAAGCAACTCATCCCTGGACAACTCATCCCCTAAACAACTCATCCATGGACAACTCATCCCCAGACAACTCATGAGTTGTCTCATGAGGGATGAGCTGTCCATAAGCCCAAGGTAGATGGAGCAGGAAAAAGGTCAAGAAGGCTTTGGGTGAATGTACCTAATATGTATGTACATGTAACAAGTTAAACTAAAGCTAATTTACGAATATTCTAATATTCTCGAATATTATAATGTTAAACCCTGTGTAACTTGACTTACCTTTCAAGGATGGTAGGCAGACCTTCTACTTCCAGGGCTGGAACTGTGCCAAATGGGCTGATCTCCTTCTGATATTTTGCTTTCTCCTCAGGAGCTATAAATGGAAAATTCAAGAAATCAGTCTTTATCCAGATATCCTCATATTGGATTATTATGCTGGGAAAGAAGAATACATGATATGATACCAGATTTTAGTAATAAATGCTTGAAACATTTTCAAAAAGATTGTGTTATTTACGTGACCCAGTCTTATTGTTTACAAAATGGATAATATTTTGAGGATAACTGATAACCACTATGATAATGTTGTATTGATATTGCGCCTGTGAGATCTTTCTGTGTAAATATACAGTTAAAGTATGTATTTCAGGTGTCTATCATTATAGTCATTAGGGCAATAGTACAATATGTAATGTTTTTGAGGAAAGCCTATAGAAAGCCGAATTTAGTGAATTTAATCCTACCCAGGAATATCAAAAGCTAAAAAGATAAACTTTATTTGGAAACTCTTAAAACATTTTGATATTGAATCTTCAAAAATGTTTTATGAAAAATGAATTATAAAGATGAAATGATATAAATTTTATAAATATGGTGGTTTTCAATTTTTCCAAGCATTATCTACATCCCATCATAAAGTCCCCTGGGGCGATTGAAGGGATTTACATTATATATTTTATAAAGAAATAAACATCACAATAATAAAAAAAATTATCTATACAAAAATGATGGAACAGGGGTGAAAAACAACCCACAAATGAAAATAATTAAACTGCCATCTAGACGTACTTGTATTTTTAAGACTCAATTGATTTTACCATTAAAAAATATGTAAAAACTCACTTCTCTCAAATGCTTGCAAGACAAATTCGTAATCAATTTTGTCTTTATTCATCATCAACATCACCCCAACCGCTCTTGATGGTTGCGACCTGTAGTCAGCGTGCAATTTGATAGGTGCCATTTCTGATATATTCTCGTCTGTGGGATCTGCAGTCTCCTTGTGCTCAGTTGGTGCTCCTTCGCTGTGTTCTGTTGGCAACTTGATGTGTATGGCTTAAGTATTAACCTTTGGTGATGTGGTCTTTAAAATTGTTTGATTCACATGTAAATATATAAGAATGTGTATATAAAGGCTTAAGTTGATTTAGGTATTTTACAGTCAACTGACACATGGGCATCCAAGCTATAGATTTAGATATCAGGTGACTTATAGTACAGGGTGAAACAAAAACTGCTATCAGCATAATATTGCATTACTTTTTGTCTTGTAACGCTCATAACTGCATCTAGTTGAACTAGTCCTCTGATACCGTGTAGAGTTGCTCCATGGATTCAAGTTCTAATGTGATAGAGAACAAGTAAAAAATCATGCAGACAAAAATGATACAATACTATGTGAGTGGCATTTTTGTGTCACCCTGTATGGATCAGCAGTGAATCAAAGAGTGTTCTTTTTCTAACATATTGATTTAGATGAGAAAAGCCAATCGATCACAGATGCTGTAGTTTTTTTAAATGAAGTTTTACATCGGTGTGTCTTTAATCAATATTTGTTATATTTGAAAGCTTGAAGTGATTGGGCAAAACTCTCATTCAACATTTGTTGTTTCTTTCTGTATGTTTTTATTGGAATTATTGAATGTCCATAGGAAGAGGGGGAATAGACCCAACCTTTGGCATTTGGGTATGGCAATTGACCCAATCATAATGTTTTGTTTAAACATTTGTAGTTGTTGAATATTTACTTAAATATTATTATTAGGTAACTATATGTTCATGAGCTTAAATATGTAAGAATTAGATTTGTATTTAACCCCACACACAATGATGTTGCTGATAATTTATATCAATTTGTGTAAATATTAGATATGTATGTGTTTCTCAGTCTAATGTGCACCTTAAATTAAAGCTCAAATAAATGTACAGGAAAATCTGTCGAGTCGGAACGCCACTTGGACTTACCAAAATTGATCAGATTGGCAGATGTTTACATTTCTTTTTTTGACATTTTTTAACATGGAAATCTATGGCAGATTTTAAATTAGACTGAAAGTGTTCAGGTTAAGAGGTGTTCAGGTTAAGAGGTGATCAGGTTAAGAGGTGTTCAGTTTAAGAGTTTTTTTGGTTAAGAGGTGTTCGGGTTAATAGGTGTTCGGGTTAACAGGTGTTTGGGTTAAGAGGTTTTCAGGTTAAGAGGTGTTCAGGTTAAGAAGTATTCAGGTTAAGAGGTGTTCAGGTTAAGAGGTGTTCGGGTTAAGACGTATTCAGGTTAAGAGGTGATCAGGTTAAGAGGTGTTCAGGTTAAGAGGTTTTTGGGTTAAGAGGTGTTCGGGTTAAGAGGTGTTCAGGTTAAGAGGTTTTCGAGTTATGAGGTGATCAGGTTAAGAGATGTTCAGGTTAAGAGGTGTTCTGTTCGGGTGAGAGAGTTGTTCAGATATTCAGGTTCTACTGTATTTGGAGAACAGATAATACAGATAATGAATAGGTAACAGAACGCAATTGTCATCATAGCAAGAATTATTGAAGGAATAAGACTGGAGATGAGTTAAGGACGTGTTTCAAAACAAATATCAACAATTTTGTACTATTTTGTGCTCTCATAATTCTATTGTCATACTTATTTTCTAAAAAGTCCATGGCCAACAGTTCTGACTTTATATCAGGAAAAATCTTTGATTTTTTGGGTTATTTGGCGAAAGAGAGACATTTTTAAACATTTCTGCATCTTCAATCTTCAATAACTTTGTTAAAATTAACATTTTTATTAATCAATATTCATAACTGTATTGGCATTGTGGGATCCTCAGCCAGGCCTATCCCTTGGAATAGATTCAACCTCCAGATAAAGAGAGATGCTTATAAGTCAGAATGCCGTATTGGCTGCAACTATTGGCCATGCTATGGTGCCATCTATTGACAGTATCTCAAAAGTAACAGTATATAATTGACAGTATCTCATACCAGTAATTTGAACACTGAATATTACAGAAAATAAATATTTTGGAGCTTTTCCTTTCTAAGTGTGCATATGTGCAGTCCCCCTGATTTTTTCTAAGCGTAACAGGTTTTATGAATTAACTTGTTGTAGAAGAAACTTGTCAAGCAAATGCAAACTCTTTGCTGCCTTAGAAGGGTTCTATTTCTCCCTCCATTCATTCATTGTAGAGGGAACACAACTAAATGCTATAACATGTGTTTTCTCATATAATTGATCAGTCTTTCAGAGAAAATCAAGATTTGTGGCCATCTTTTGCTATCATGCCATCATACCCAAGTTTGAAAAAATTGAATCAAAACACCCCAAGAAAATCAAAAGATCTCACCTGTTGAATATGCCATCTATAGAAAATGTCAAAAGTTGTCATTCTGATTTTGACAGATGGAGGGTGGTCAAAAAGGTCAAGTTTTTCAAAGCAAATGCACCATAATCATATCAAATCGTGTGAAAAAAGATCCAAACATACATTTTTTTCATTCATTGACCTATCAAAATCAAACCACTGGTGATGCTGGTGTAATTACAATAACTGGACTATATTCTTGCTTTTAAAATACCATATATTTGCTTCCCACTCAAGCAGAAGGATCAATTGGTTGTGTTGTCCCATTGTAGCTTGAATTGTTGATGATACTACTTTTCTACACTCCCCTCCAAAAGTTTAGCAACTTATGTGTTAAAGCCTGTTCAGGTTTGGTGATTTCAACAAATTTTAAGTAATCAATTTAATTAAGTTAGTTTAAGTAATTTAAGTAATTAAATGAATTGTAATATCCATGAACACAATTACGATTCAAACATAGGCCTTTCATACAACCTTTTAGGATTTCTGGTTGTTGTTGAGGGGAGTGTAATACACATCCCTCTAGATTGGTCTTCGCTGAAAAGAACTTAAGAATTGAAGTACCTTTTGACTAAGGATGGGGTATACAACTCACTCTAAGTTCTGAGTAAATGTCTAAATGCAATGTTTTATTAATTAACATATCTGTGCAATGAATAGTATTCACTTTAAAGTATTCCTCATTTCAGCATTTTCCACTACACATATGAATAACTGTACAATATTTATATTATTGCACATATACATATGCATTATGTTAAAACATATATTAGTACATGAACATATTGTTTTGAATTAATATTAGCCTACAGTTGGCACTAGGCCATTCCAAATCACTACGACCTTGCTAATGTCACCAGTTCTAATGTTTTGTTCATTTTAACACCAATTGTAATGATTTATTTTGATTTATTGTCTAATGTGGTTATGTTTAGATGTGCATGAAATGTATATTTCCTTCAAATTCTTCAGATATACATATATTTTTGACAATTCCTTGTTTTGGTTCATTCCCAAACATTTGAAAGGGTCATTCACAAAATTGAAAATTGTCCAGTTTGGTTCTGGCCCATTCACAGAACAATCACTTAGAACTGTAGACATTGCTTTACAATTTTGAAAAGTGGACAAATATACTTTTGGACTATTTCATTGATGTTTTCACAGTGACTGGATACTATTTGCAGAGGTATCGTTATTTTGGATTCAGTGTTTGATTGATACTCTTGAATATTTTATTTAGAAATATCAATTTTCTCTTAAAAATTAATTGTGTGTGATACGAAAGTGAATATTTCATGTTAATGTTTATTTTTTGCAAGTATTTGATTTTATAGGATATATTGAGCAATCAATCTAGTTTATAATTTTAAAGGTATAATTCCTATGTACTACGAACTGCGTTGTTGTTTTATTGTTGTTTATAGTAGCCATTGCTTCAAAATTCAGAGTTTGTACTTTCTTGATTGTCTTTTTCAGATGTTACCCTTTATTCTCCTTGAAGATGTCAAGTGTCATGTTGACATAATGACAAATTGATATTAACAAGTTAACAATTTTTCATTTAACATCAGACCGACATTTTTTTACTCTTAATTGTAAATCAATTCATCCCTTCTGGCGTAACAACCTTGTGACATTAATAGGGACATAGCAACAGGTTAACTGGATACCTGTATGTGATATAATTTAATATGACAATGGTCTTTAGTATTTGTCGCCAAATAGAGAGAAAAAGACGAGAAATAGCAAGTATTGATATCTATAGGCATTAAGTTAAACACTCAAAAATCAAGTATATAACGGTGTTTCGTAAACTGTATTTAGAGAAAAATTGAAGTAAGTTTGATGAATTGAATATTTTGTCTGGGCTTACGACTTTTGAATTTTACATGTTAACATGCGGAAAGGCAAAACAACAACCACGTGCCTAAGTGAGAATAATGATTTTAATTGATGTTTATGAAATTGATGATAAAATCCAATTTATCATTTGGCGAAAACTAAAGCAATAATACAAATGACTACGTAAAACGTTACACCATCAAAGATGACAGTTTTAACATGGAGGATTACTTCTACAAGCTCGGCTTATAGCTGATTTTCTGCTTCATTTATTATAGGTATTTTAGGAATTTCCTCATATTGTTTCATAAAGATATGAATTCTAATTATAAATGTATTTCTTAGGGATATGGTTTTCTCATAGCATTGCATCTCTTCCTTTTGGACCATTGTATGGAAATTAAAATATGTCACCATTAACCGTTAAAACAACTTAAATAAGATTGTCGTTGAAATAGTTATTAAGATACACGTATTATTAATTATAATTGCCACCTCATATTTTGAGATAATTGATGGAAGTATTTGAGCTGTGATTGACGAAGGAGCGAAGCTGGGCCTGATGAGTAGACATGTTAGAAAAAGATGACACAAAACCCCAAATGATACGATTACACTATATGATAACAAACTTCAAAATAAAAGGAGTAGATTTCATTTTGATGGACATAAAAAAGGATCATTACCTTATCAGGGCTTAAAATAAAGAGCCATACGGACATATCTGTATGGAAAGAGATTACAGTATATGATTCAGAAAATTGGAGATTCATAGATCCGATGGGATCAAAGGAAATTGGGATTGGTACCATGACAACAATATCACGCCCATATTTGTATGACTTGGATTATTATTATGTAATACCATAAGGCAATGCATTGATTATAATAAGGATATAGTATTTAAAGAATAATCTATGAATAAAATACATCTATGGATACTATTTCTTTTACAATCTAATCCAAAATGAATTCATAAATGAGGAAAATACTATTATACATAAAACACAAACCAAAATTCTAAATTACTAGAAACAGAAAGTTGAAAACTTTACTCCGATTTATAGAGAAATGATGATTTTAACATGGGCAGAATGTTATGTATCTTACGGGCCCCTGAAGTACATTCAAGATTAGGAAGGATTTAATAACACAAGGCAGACATTAAGTGGATTAAACATCAAAACTTAAAATGGTGATTTCTTATGGGATTTGTCAGGAACCTTTGAGACATCCCACAGGAAAACATAAGAATGGGTCATTAAAGAAACAAAATGGTTCCAAACGAAGACATAAATATGCCATTGGGAAGCAGAGAGCAGATAAACACCCAACTGGATCAAAACCTTATAAACACTTGAAACAGATTGATAAACACCTCAGTTGCCATAGCATTCACAGAGAACACTCCTTTATGAGCCTATCGCCACAGGGACAACATCATCTGGATGCTGAATCTTTTCCTGATCCTTTCTTCAGAGATTTTGAAGATTCACATCTTAGAAATTGTAATCTTAATGAATATCTTTCCAGAGACCCTGACTCAGGAAATCCTTTAGTAAGACATTCCACATTTAATGCATCTCAACTTAAAGACTCTAAGATGAGACTTCAATCTCAATATAGAGATTCCCAATTTAGAGACTCTCAATTTAGAGATGCCCAAATAAGAGACACTCAATTTAGAGATGCCCGATTAAGAGACACTCAATTTAGAGATGCCCAAATAAGATACACTCAATTTAGAGATGCCCGATTAAGAGACACTCAATTAAGAGATGCCCAATTAAGAGACACTCAGCTCAGAAAAACTCAGCTTAGAGACACTCATTTAAGAGACACTGAATTTAGGGATGCCAAATTAAGAGACACTCAATCAAGAGACAATCAGTTTAGAGACACTCATTTAAGAGACACTCAATCTAAAGGACTTCAACTAACCAAAACAAATCATAAAGATATCCAATATAGAGAGCCTGAATTCAGAAACCTCAAAAACTTTAGATATTCTCATAGCCTAGAGAGGCATGGAAATATTACATATCACCCAGATCTTAGAATGACAGTCTCAAATTCTGGGCAACATGTACAAATATGTCCCTCAGAACAATGCTGGGCGTATCCCCCCAATGTATACAATGAGAATGGAATACAGGTGAATTCTGTCTTCCTAAATGTTTCATGCGTATTCCATTTGTTACTTATCTTAGCTAGCTTTTAAATGCGTTTTTCTTTATTTCAACCTCAGCCGGCAGTTGTATATGCATTTGCAATTGTCCCCTTTTGGTTGACATCTTTCTTACAGTTTCATGGCAGAAGTAGGATTTATTTAACTTTTCAGAATTCCTTACAATCTTGTTTCCAAACATCATACATCTATTCATGGGCTTTCAATTCTATTGAATGCCCATGATCTATTCAACACTGTAGTTCATTGGTACACCAAAAGGGGTCAGGATTGTTTGGAGAGGCCTAGTGGCGCACATCTGATTTTTCTTTGGTCTAGAGTGACATCCTGAAAGATATTTAAAATATGTTGCTGATAATGCTCTTGCATGTACATAATCAAGGGGATCTTGTCAATCATGAAATCGATCAAATCTGAATCAACAGTAACAATTTTTATCAATGACTTATTTTTAGACCACTAAAGGCTTATATAGCCCTTGTAGTTGTATACATACATTCCTAAAGCAGTTGCTTTCAGCTAAAAGCTGCTTATTTTAACTTTCTTTGCCTTTTTACAACATCATGAAAGAAAGACATCTTAACACAAAATCATTTTTCATTATGTCAATGTTGTATGTTAATGCCACTATGTTAAGCATTCAGATCACTTTCTCCTTAAATATCAGAGTTTTTATTAGAATGTGCACTTGAACATTGTACGGCACGTATAGCACCCCACATTTCAGCATCAGATCTTAAATGAACAAATGAGGTATATGCTATAATTAGATTGACATGATAATTATATATAATTATCCCATTGAAGAGATTTTTGATATAAAGTATATATTCAGGTTGTTCAAAAAGTATTTGGAAAATTCTCGAACTTTTGATTTTTAAATATTATTTTTATGAAACTTATTTTTATGAAATTGGAAGAATGACAAGGTGAGAGAATTTTCAATTACTTATTGAACAAGCTTTACATATTTTTTGACGTGAACTTCTAAACATGTAACATTTATGATACTATTTGATTGTGAATTTTTCCAGTTGGAGGATATCTTAGACCATTGGGATCCTGAGACATCAAGAATAAGTGAGTTTTACTAAAACTTTTTGAACACATTTCACATTATTCTGATTCCTCTTAAGTCATGTGAAAAAATCATTACTATTTTCTGCAACTTTTTAATTTGTTGAAAGTTATTAGCATTTTGATTCTCTTTGAATTTCCCCTTTAGTAAATTGAGATCATCAGACTGAAAAACAGCTCAGAGCTTGTGAATAATATACATTTATTCAATGCCAGTAAAATTTTTTTTATTTAATTGGCCAATATGATGTAAATATATCTTTTACACCGCAGGAAAAAGAATCTGTATTACACCCTGATGTCATTATGCCATGTAATTTGGAATTTAAGTCCTAATTTTTTCTTGAAAAACAATTTAGAGCTGCATATCCTACTGCATCGAAATATCCAGCGCCTTATTACTTTTTACAAATTTTCTCATGCACAATAAAAGAAATTTTGTATTTTACTCAAATTATTGAATAACAATGGTACCATATACATATTGTGAAAATCAACTATTGTATTGTTCCATCTTAAGGTGGTGCATTCTCCAAGCAGTTCTGGCTCCAGTATGAAGAGTACTGCTTCAGCTATAGGACAATAAAACAGTGAGTGCTCTGGGGAGGGGGAGGGGACAATATTAAATTTATTATTGTTAGGTTTATATCCTTACAACCATGGGATAATTAGAAGGTGTCCTGTATTGGTTCTGATGGATATGGAATTTATCAAATTACCCAAAGTGCAAGTAAATAATTATCAATTTCACCACCGGGTGGCTAGTTCAGGTGAGATAACATTGCAGGCATAGAAAAGGCTCATCTAAACTTGAATAATGACTAGATTTTGGGGATCAATTTTATCGAATCTTTGAGTTGGTAATTATACATGAACAGTGTAAAATATGTTCAGTTAAAGAAGTGTTATCTTTTCAATACAAGAAAAAATATTTCAATTTTCATGATCTTATAAAATGGGCATATTGGGGAATATACCTAGAAATCACTTTATCAAAGAAAATTAAAATTTAAAAAAGAATTAAAAAATTTCAATCTTTAAAACTTCATTTCTAAATGTTATTTTGTATGATATCAAATATGATATCCTTTTGACTTTTTGAATATTTTAAAATGATCATTTCTACTTGGATCTCGTTGATTGATTACACACTTGAAAATTGAAACTGTATTTTTCTCACGGATATGACTTTTTCCATGCATTTGAAGATATGATTCATAGACTACATTATTGTAATTTACAATGCATACAATAGTCAATATTACTTGTATACAATGCATACAATAGTCAATATTACTTATATACAATGTATACAATAATCAATTATGGTAATATACAATGCATATAATAACCAAGAATAAGGGTTTAAAAGTTAATGCTTTATAAAGTTTATTTACATACAAATGTTATAATATTGAATTTAAACTTCATAAGTATATTCAATTTTGAAGTTAAGTGTGTTTTTTCTTCTTTTCTTCTTTGAATCAAAACCCAAAATTTGGGAGTCCGTCTACAATAGTAAAAAAAGTAATTCATCGTTGGAGACATATTTGAAGTATGCTTAGTCATAAATCATACATACAAGCCAAACGTCACATAATATTCTAAAGGTTATTCCTTACTAGTCATCATAAATCACATCATACCTTTTGAAAAAATATTGATTTTGATATTTTTTGAGAAATGGTTTGCTATATCTTTAATGCATTAGAATTTGTATAAAGAAATTTCATAGGTTAAATAATTGGCTGATTTTGAATTTAATTAATTTTGAAATCTTTGGTATTAGTATTGATCTTGCAGAAAAAATTTACGGTAGAAATATTTCATCTGTCTTATTTAGATTAATTTAAGAGACAAGAAAAGTTATATCGCAAGATAAATGTCAAGGTCATCATGTTATATTAGACTCTTCTTATTCAATTCAGACTGCTCCGATGTAAGCGAGAAAATGATGATGAATTTGCCCAGTTCTGCCGATTAAGAAGAGGCGTTACAAAACATTCTCTCAATTCGCTCTTGCTTCAACCAGTAAGTAAAAACATTTATTTTATATTTTTTATTTCCTTTGCAAAAATGTTAAGGTGGCCATGAGTTTTCTCATGGGCTTTCAAGAGATGAAAGCCCATAAGGAAAGGGGAATCGTTATGGAATAATTATCCCAATGAACAAAGTTCAGTAGGGATATAGTGAAAGTGTTCACTGACTTAATCTTGGAGGGTTTTCAGTATTGTAGTCACAGATGAGATTTTTTCAGAAAAGGTGTTCAAACAACGATTTTTTCAGACAAAGCTGAAAAACTTGGGTAACACAAGGATTGAGATATTCATTGATGACTTTTATGAATTATGCATACTGAATTATAACTACAAGAATGTTTACCTTGAACAAACCGCTAACTTTATTAAAAAAGTCTATGATTTATTTAACACAAGGATTCAATATTCCAATATCAGCTTGTAATTTAATTTACATTTCAATATCAAAGTGATCTTGACCCTCTAGGTTAAACTGTGAATAAAGTGTAACATCTTCATGCTTTTCCTTGCTTAAAAGCTATTTACAGTGAGGATTCAGCAAGGAATGATGTTAACAGAAAGGAATCAGATATGTTGAGTTGTGTAAAAATAAAGAAAATCATCAGATTATGAATTGAGAAAATTGAGAAAAAAGATGAAATGGACGAGCTGGGGTGAATTTTATTATGTGGGTAAAGATTTAAAGGACTGTATTTATGAAATTAATTTTATCATGTTTAATCATGATTTACAGCTGGATCTCAAATAAAAATTTATGCAATGAACTTTTTTATCAGATGTATCTTATTTGCTTTCAGAATGTATGTTTGCATAGAAGTGTTATATTTTATGGTTCTATATTCAAGGGATTTTACAGTATTCTTGCTTATTTTTTTTGACATTTCCTCCCTAGAGATTAGATGAACCCAATTTTTTATAATTTCTATAAAATGTAATTTTATTTATCCATTAATTCACTTTATTATTCACAATATTTTTTGTGTATGATCTGTTTGTATATTTATTTATTCTAAAATAACATCATACAGTTCAGCTCTGCAAGGGCAGAAATCTGCAATAAAAAAACTAATGAAAATTCATTTTTTGACAAATCTTTATATTAAGATTTCTTGATAAGATCGGTATCTTTTGATCCAGTTGTGATAAGGTTTATAATTTGATTAGATTTCATTAAAGTGCCATATTTAGGTATTGATATGCACATTAGATATTGATATGCATAATTTGATATTGATTCACATTTTAGAAGTGATGTACGCACTGAGACAAGATTAATGATATGCTGCATATACTATGATAGATTAGTTAAAACTTTGATGAATGGGTATTGATATTTATCTTAGTTTTGTAAATTGAGAAGATTTTGTTGTTGAAATATAAAAAGGACAAGTGAAACATTTGTTCTCCTAACAATTAGTTAATGGAGTAGAAGGCACCATAAAAGGGAAGCAACAGTTTTTAGGTGATGAAAGAATACCCAAAATTAACCATAGATATCCTAATACCACTAGGAACAATAGAATTGTAAAATGCTCAAAGACAATCTTGTGGCTTAAAATGCCCTTTTATTGTTGAGTTAGGTATCCTACCATTTGCATTGAATTGAATTGAATATTTTGATCTGGTCTTCATTGTTTACACATTGTGTATCTTTCTAAACTGGGCAGATATGAAATCTTATGTTCCTGGGTTACATTGTATTTGGTAGGAGTGCTTGCTGGTTTATTTACTCATTTCTGGTCCATAATTTCTAATCGTGATATTGTAGCCAATAGAGGAAAGTCCTTTTTTCTTTTTATGTCATCACAAGTTGTGGATGGCAGTCAGCATTTGTTGGTTGGTGTTCAGTGTTCAGCATCAGTAACACATGTAAAAAATGGTATGTGGTGACATTTTGTATGTTAATGTCTTGTTTTAATATAATATCAATTATTTTCATAAATTGTATTGAAAGTGTACATTAAATAGCTGAAAATAATGGAAGACATCTCTATTATACATGTATTTCTCCAATTTTAGGTAAACACATTTGGGCCAGTATTTAATCTGAAAAAGTATTATTTGTGGCTAAACTATTTTGATGGTCTTAAATTCTTTAAGTATTTTTCGAATTTCCATGGAATTTTTCATGTTATTAAGGTTAATGCTATAAATAGATTTCAGATTATAACTTTAACTGACATATTCTATTATTACAAATGTTTGTCAAAATATTAGACACACGTTTCTGAAAAACACGTTTCTGAAAACATGTAAATCCCATACTTGACTAAATGGATCTGTCATATCAATGAGATTAAAGTAATAGTTGACTTTTAACCTATATATAAGTAACTAGTGTACTATGCGTATTACAATACATATGTTATATTATATAGTTACATCATGAATCAAATTGATTTTTGAGCTTGTTAGTAATAAAATGGGTCACCGAGTAAACAAGTTGGTCTTACTGTGAATAACCATATTTGCCCAAAATTTTAAGTATCTTCCCTGGGCTGATAGATCCCTTTATCATGGGCATAGCCAGGAGGGGTGTGAATTCAATCCCTGCTATCTGTCACTATTTCATTCATATTCATGTTTCACTATACCTTTTTTAACTTGACTCGGCTCCTTTTACTTGATTTTAAATTATTTCCAAACGATTACAGAAAAAATGTATCAACGTTTATCAAGTTTATTTTTACCAGTATTATAAAATTCAATTCTTCCTTTCACCTGAACTTCAACTTTATATACATGTATGTCATATAACAAACACACATGTATTTACTTATATATTGACCATTCAATTTGACTTTAAACCAAGTGAAATCTAAATTTGTATTTTTAAGATATTATCCCCATAATTACAAATGAAAATAACAAAAGGTCAGCTTGTCAAGTTGTACATTTTACTCCATATTTGGTATGATTATATGTTGCATTTCCTTATTAACTATACTTTTTAAATGCATTGATCATTTTACAACTTAGGGTCATTTAGATGTTGGCATGTCAATTTAAGTTTTATTATATACATGTATTTTAATTCCACAACATTCCTTTATATTTTGTATACATAACTTTTATTAACATATTATATTTTGTCAAACATCAGATTTCATGAATGGGCACATTTTCAAAGTTTCATAAAGTGTTCATCATACATATGTAACTGATGACCTTGTATACTTGTTTATAAAACACAAATATAAAAAACATGTATGTTGAACCATCTCAGAGAGACTGGCATGTTATAAGGGTCAGTAAAAGATATATGTATAGTAAAACCTGTCTTAGTGAACACCTCACTCTAGTGAACACCTGTCTTTATTGGACGCCCTTCCTCCACACATACTCAACAGACTTCTATATTAAATACCCTCTTAGAAGTGAACACCTACCAACACTGAATGTTTTTTCTCGGCAAAAAAAAGGTCACACAGGTTATACTGTATCTTAACATTGGAGGCAATGGGAGGGATGATATCATAAGTACCTTGATACTCTGAACCTCGTTCTTTGCCTGGCAAGAAAGAAATTTAAATGAAGGCCATGATCTCTCACAGTGCTGTGCATTTATTTGTAAAAAGGATGTTTTGTTCCCTTCTCTGTAGAATTTACACGTGCTTTTTATGCTTCAATTTATGAAAGTACAAAAAGTGCATAAAGGTTTTTTATTACTTCAGAATCTGCCTTAAGGTCTCTTTTTATCTATAGGTGAAATGAAAGGGCAAACCGTCCTTTAGGATCATATTATATAATAATAATAAGGTTGTTTGTAGACTAAAATAGTGCATGTCTGTATTTATAAAGAAAATATAATTTGATGCATTATTCCATTTACTTCTGTAATTTAGTATTTAACCCTTTGAGTGCCATTGGGCCGATTCGGCCGATGGGAAAATGTATGTCGCTAAAGTGCCAAGATCGGCCCAAAATCGGCCCAAAATAACGCGTTTATATACACAGGGAAACATATCATCAACTGAGAATGAATAACCTATTCTTATTTATTTATGTTTGTTTAGATCGGTCTTAATAAATCGACCCGGACTCAGTTTGATTTAAGTTAATTTAACAGACGCTGGGTATCTTACAACATCGTATAGTAAATGCGTTTTAACCAAGTTGGCAAGGTTTAATGGAATATCGGCCCGAATATAGTAGATTCAATAATGTCCCCATAAATGGTGAATAATACGTTATTGGTCAAGTAATTAAACAAATTGTGTTGCAAACTAACTGAGGTAACTTTTTTTATGCTATGAACGCACGTAATTTTCGTATTTTTGCAACGCTGATGTTTGTTACATTGTATCTGTTAACGTGATTTAGTGTACAAATGAAGTAAATACTTGAAATTCATGTATTGGAAATAAAATATGCATGGATATGCATGAAACGTAATGTTTGTTTTGTTCATTAAAAATAATTCGACCTGATCTATTCCTCATATACAGTATACAATGTAGTTATATTTTACGAACGCTGGGCATCTTACAATATCGAAAAATTAATGCTTATTAACAAGCTTGGCATTCAAGGATTTCGTTAATATTGGCCCAAAATGTTGTCCCTATAAACGTTGATTTGTAAGTAATTCGTCGCAAATATACCAAAGTCACTTATTTGTAAATTAGTGTATTTCTTATTATACTTTGAACGCATATGATTTTCAGCATTTTAGAACGCTTGCTGTTGTCTTGAAATTGTTGCGCTATTAACGTTTTTGAAACATGAAATTAACTGTAAGAATGTAAAACATGTATTTATAAATATAATCCATGTGAATATATAGAAATGACATTACACATTATGCATAAACTGAAAATAAAAATAAAATACTTTTGGATGTAGAAATGCGAACTGATCATTGATAAAGAGCGTCCGTTTTCGTGTTTGTACGATGGACGCTGCGGTAGCTAAGTAGGCCTACATTATGCCTTATTACATGTATTAAACAAATCAAACATTAAATGAGTTAACGTACCATTTCCTTAGTTT